AGGAGGCACAGAGGCTGCAGGGGGGGGGCAGAGGCTGCAGGGGGGGGGCAGAGGCTGCAGGGCGAGTGGGGAGCAGGGAAGCACTTAGCAACCCCCAACCAAGATCAGAGTGGGAGGGAGGAGGGGGAATGCAGGGTGCTCAGAGGAGGGGGCAGAGTTGGGGCAGGGACTTTGGGGAAAGGGTTGGAATGGGGGCAGAGAAGGGGTGGGGTTGGGGCGGGGAAGGGGCCCCCTGGAGTGTCCTCTTTTTTAAATGTTTGAATATGGTAACCCTATATACAGCAGGCGTTCTACCTGCCTCTAACCCTGTGGACATATACTGAAGGTGCATGTGCCTAGGCATAGTGTACTTCCATATCTCCCACATATTTCAGAAAAAAACAAAGCAACAATTTAACCTCATAGTAAACAAAATAAATCAAAGAACAAAGTATGTTTTGAGACACTATCACTTACACAACTGTAGTTTAATTTTAAATTTAGAATATTTTAAAGTGTATTTGCCTTTGTAAGAGTAATGAAATACAGAGGCCTCACTTCAATCCTCTGCCATTCTTCAGAAGTCTTTGAGATATGGGGAAATTAGCGGCTTCCCCCAAAAAGTGAGACAAGTTATGCAAGTCAGTAGTAAACTTTCACCCACCCATCCCCGTTTCCTTGATCATGACCACATGGCCATGCGCATCTAAAAACTAAGTTGTGCCCAGGAAAGTCTCCAGATCTCTGATGGCCAAGTTCCATGTTCCCCTTCTCAGCCAGTCACTGAACTGCACTAGTTTAGACATCCAGACATTTCATCTGCAACCTATCAACACCACACATCTCCTTCCCCTCCCCTCCAGTTTTGTACAACAAAAAATTAAGGTTTTTTTTTTAAATTCACTGAAGAGCCATTGGAAACACCACAAAATATCTTTTCCAGGCTGTGAGTGCACCAGTATCCGCACAATCACTATGCTTAAGTGAAAGTTTATTTCACAGCTTACTAACTGCAGTTAAGATTCCCATTGCTACTGCAAGATTACTGGCTGTTTTAGTGACTAATGAAATTAATAGTGTTCAAGTGTGCGCTATGACTATATCCTTACACAGTTTCCTTCTTGTGATATTTATTCTTTGCTTTACAATACCCCAGAGTGTGCTGGGAATTTTTACAGAAGACATGATTCCTGCCCCTAAAGTTTAGGATCTAATGTTACTACTATTCAGTCATTAAAACCCCAAACAAGGTTTTGAACAAGCTTTGGAAGTGAATATCATGGATAAAAAGACTTTGCTAGATCTTCCTACTTGGTTAGGCATTTTGATCATTTGCAAAATCACTATGTTTTTAAAACAAAAGTGCAGAGTATGTACCGCCAGACTTTTAAATAGAGAAATACCAGCATAGTAGAATTGGCTCTTACTAGCACTAGAGTTGCTTCACAGATAACCCTTCTAATTGAAGAAAAGCTGATTTTTGCAAGAGGTCATAGGACTAGACAAGGTGCAGCAGGTTTTGGCAATAAAGATAGTTCAGTGCAGAATGCATCCCCAACAACATACAACAAAGACTCCGACCTCAGAGTTTATAAATGTCAGTAGATAAGCTTGTTTTATAGACAAATTAGCAACAAAAAAATTCTACTAGTAACTGACAGGTTTTATAAAACTGAGTTTTACAAGACTCCAGAGAAGCTACTTTTCCCTAAATGTTTGAATTGCTTAAGAGTATCATTCAGGAAGACTGTGTGTGTTACATAGTGAGGAGCAGTGTTAAAAATCAGTCATTTTTCACTTTGTTTTCAAGCATGCTGTAAATAAAGCAGGGCCCCTGAGACGTCTATCAAGTTTTAGCTCATAGAAATAGTCAAAAGTGTTTTCCAAGATACAGAAATAATTCTCTGTTTGGGGTATTTTGGGGAATGAGCTAAGGTGAAATCAGGCCAAGTCTCCAAAAGTAGATTTGTATTTATTAAATAAATTGTCCAAAACAGCCAGGTTTGGTTATTCACTTTCTTCCTTTTCTCAAGATATTTGTATGTTTAGTGGTCATCTTAATTAAATTTTTCCATCCACAAACAGGTTCTTTGTGGAGCCTGTTAACCGCCAATTAAGGAACAAGTTTATTATAGAGCACCACATAGCACTCTTTCACCCAACATCTTACATTCTCAGCCACTGGCAACCTAGCCAATTTCACTTTGAAAGTGGGAGGGAGAAGGGTGCAATTCTTTCCAAGATTAAAGCCACTGAATGAGGTACTTTTTGATCATGTGTCAGATGTCTTCCTATCTTAAAGATATTTTAAACACCCTTTTTAGCCAAGATTTACAATTTTTATCAGAAGATAAGCAATACCACACTATACAAACTGATAAAATCAAAAGTTATACTGCATTTAAAATATTCCACTTTGTAGTAATGAGACCTCTTTAGTCATAGTCCCATCCTCCTGCAATAGTACTGGGCCCTTCTATAACACCCTTCCATCTGAAGATTTCAAAGTGCTTCATGAATGAGTTAAGCCTTACTTTTGTGAGGTAGAGACACAATGCAAGGGACTGATCCTGGAATCTGCATTCATATGACCATGGCTGCAGGATGAAGCCTTAAGATTTTCCTGCTGCAGAATATTTTCCTAGGGGTCTGCCTACTCTAGCTTTAAGTGTCTTGAGATGTAGCTTCCACTAATTACTATATAAAGTAACTGCAGAAATTAGGATTGCCAGGTGTCCGGTTTTCGACTGGAACACCCAGTTGAAAAGGCACCCTGGCAGCTCCGGTCAGAACTGCTCACTAGGCCACTAAAAGTTCATTTGGCGCAGGGCTGGAAGTCTCCCTACCTGGCTCTGCGAAGCTCCCTAGAAATGACAACATGTCCATCGGCTCCTAGGTCTCCTGGTTTACAATTGAAGGTGTGTACATCTAGATATAGGAGTTCTTGAACAAAAACGGAAATTTTTACAGTCCTGTATTTTCTTTACGTCTACAGGTGATTGCAATAAGTCATTCATTATAAGCTGCAGAGAGGACAAGCAAACTCCATCCAGAATTTTTGGATTTACTGAACCTTTCTAATTGTATTCTTGTCTTGGTAAAGAGAAGGAAAGATTTTAGAAACATTAAATGCTATTTGAGAGACCTGGATGATGTTATTCCAGCCAGG